TAGTGTGGCGCGGGGGGGGGGGGGGGGGGAGAAGAAACATTTATCCAGCTGAGACGTGATGAGGAGGGGAAGGGCCCGTCCACCCCGGCGCCTGCCGAGCCTGCAACCTCCCAACTATGGATGTACTATGTGTGCAACCAAGTATATGGGATAGGATGACAATGCAGCCTATCCGTTCACTAGAGACCGGTGACATCCCTGAGAATGCAGCCTATCCCATCACTAGAGACCGGTGACATCCCTGAGAATGCAGCCTATCCCATCACTAGAGACCGGTGACATCCCTGAGAATGCAGCCTATCCCATCACTAGAGACCGGTGACATCCCTGAGAATGCAGCCTATCCCATCACTAGAGACCGGTGACATCCCTGAGAATGCAGCCTATCCCATCACTAGAGACCGGTGACATCCCTGAGAATGCAGCCTATCCCATCACTAGAGACCGGTGACATCCCTGAGAATGCAGCCTATCCCATCACTAGAGACCGGTGACATCCCTGAGAATGCAGCCTATCCCATCACTAGAGACCGGTGACATCCCTGAGAATGCAGCCTATCCCATCACTAGAGACCGGTGACATCCCTGAGAATGCAGCCTATCCCATCACTAGAGACCGGTGACATCCCTGAGAATGCAGCCTATCCCATCACTAGAGACCGGTGACATCCCTGAGAATGCAGCCTATCCCATCACTAGAGACCGGTGACATCCCTGAGAATGCAGCCTATCCCATCACTAGAGACCGGTGACATCCCTGAGAATGCAGCCTATCCCATCACTAGAGACCGGTGACATCCCTGAGAATGCAGCCTATCCCATCACTAGAGACCGGTGACATCCCTGAGAATGCAGCCTATCCCATCACTAGAGACCGGTGACATCCCTGAGAATGCAGCCTATCCCATCACTAGAGACCGGTGACATCCCTGAGAATGCAGCCTATCCCATCACTAGAGACCGGTGACATCCCTGAGAATGCAGCCTATCCCATCACTAGAGACCGGTGACATCCCTGAGAATGCAGCCTATCCCATCACTAGAGACCGGTGACATCCCTGAGAATGCAGCCTATCCCTTCACTAGAGACCAGTGACATCCCTGACAATGCAGCCTATCCATTCACTAGAGAGCGGTGACATCACTGACAAAGGATAGGCTGTATATATATATATATATCTCGGTAGAACTCTCCGTCTGGTTCCCGGCGTTGACTAACCCTTAGCGGACGGCACGTGGACGATGGCGCACATGTGCTCACTCGGCCTTTATAATGAAAGCCAGATGACAGAAGCGCTTAATGTTAATGTGAATTGATGCAATGATACAAATACAAACCATAATAATAATTTGCGTTGTGATGGAAATGTTATTTTCGTTGATTGCTATGACACATTTCCATGATGGCATTGCATGTAGAGATTAGTAGCTTCTCCTTCTTGCGGAGGTCTGTATATATAAGGCAGTGCAGTCAGTATGCTTGCTGAACAACTGCTGAGATAATATCCTTCACAAGGAAAGCTGCCCAGCAATTACATTGTATTCATTGAATCCTCGGGCTGCAACCGCACATGCAGCAGGCGCATGTGGCCGTCCGCACGTAGATATGAACATACGATTGGCTATACACAGAAACAATGGTATGAAGACCTTAAGGCCCCATTCCCATTGAGCGATTCGCAAATCGCGCGTTTGTCGCGCGATTCGCATTTGGCGCGATATCGCGCAAATGCTTGCATTGAGCAAGCTAGAATCGCGGCAAAATCAGCTCCAAAAAGGGTCCTGCTGTAGCGACGCACGACCCCGCGACAGCGACGGACAGAGCCCTATTGAGATGCATTGGAGAGCGATATCGCGCGGTAAATAGCCGCGATATCGCGGGAATTACCGCGCGATGAATCGCTCAGTGTGAATGGGGCCTTAAGGAGAACTATGCGGTCAGGGCTTTTCCCCCATAGTTCTCCTCAGGGTCACGGGAGGACACAAACTAGCGTCCTCCCGTCACCCAAAGCTCAGCATACCGCGAGCTGAGACCGCCGCAGCCGGGACGGATCCCCGACATTACTGTCTGGATCCGCCCAGCTGCGTGAGTGACAGCTGGCTCTGCCTATCTAGAGTCAGAGCCAGCTGTGCCCGCCCCCTCCCCCGTCCGTTCCGCCAGTCAGCAGAGCGGGGGGGAATCCCTGCAGGGAGCGGTGAGTGACAGTCACGGCTCTCTGCAGGGACATGATCGAGAAGTGAGCGAGCGCCGGTATGTGTTCGCTCACTTCCTGATCTATTGAGCCGACCTGTGACAGTCTCGTTGTCATGGGTCGGCTCAGATTATGAGGCTGAGTGAAAATCACCCCCCTCATAGTTCTCCTTCTCCTGTGGAACTTTAGTTGAAACCTTTTTGTTGCTCTGGGTGGGGGAGGGGAGGGTTAGATTCAGATTTACAGACAAGGTTTTCCTATGAAGACCGGGCAATGTCTGGAATATAAATGGTGATGACGTCTCTTTTCTCTCTGAGCAGACGTGGGACGAGGAGCTGGAACGGTCTTCAGAAGCCTGGGCTCAGGAGTGTATGTGGGAGCACGGACCAACCAACCTTCTCATGTCCATTGGGCAGAACTTGGCGGTACACTGGGGCAGGTGAGAGATCCTATTGGAGCTTAGAATCAATCATTGCACAGTGAGACAACTGAAATTGGCGGCCAACGTGGGGCAACACTCAGCGCCTTTGTAACGGTACAATGCTGCATGTAGTGGTCAGAGGTCAGTTGGAAGTGTAGACATGACCTGATGATGGTGACAGTGTTGCAGCACATCTGCCCCTCCGTAACCAGGAGCTCGCCTCTATGCCCGCTCACCCTCTTGGTCTTTGATAAGGAGGTCAGACCCTTGTTGACGGGTTCAGAATTTCTCTCTGCGATCCCGGCCCCCGGGAACTCCGCTGCAGAGTTCTATCTCCTAAAGTCCTCAGGAAATGTGAGTGCTAGACTATTTTGCACCCTAGGCAAGACCAGCTACTTGCACCCCCCAGGTCCCCTCCCGTGGTGTAAACCCTAATCCCCCCCCCCAACCCCCCGGCGCGGCCCCACTTTCTGGCCGGCTAGCTTCCACAAGCGACAGGTGGATGTAAGCAGCCGGGAGCAATAGCCAGACTGCTATGGGCTATTTTAATTTTAAATACCCCAGAACAGACTGGCTATTGAAACCCCGCCCACTGAGCAGAGGAGGGGACCTAAGAAAGAAAGGCGTCTCTAAGTTCCGCTCTTCTGCTTAGTGGGAGGGTGTCCCAGGGCCGCCATCAGACATTTTGGGGCCCCTTACACGGTTTTAGGCCGGGCCCCTCCCCCCAACACACCGCAACCACACTGAGCCAGTCACACTGTTATTATACATTTATATGGCTACAGCAGATATAAAAGACGCAATCACATATATAATAATACATAATAAACAAATGAGTCCCCGGTTGTCCCTCCACCTTCACAGGATATGCCATTCTCCAATGTCACATAGACTCCTTAAAGGGCAACTCCGAGTAAACTCAGTCAACGACCTTCCATTGGTTATGTCCCTGGGAGGGGGGCGGAGCCTGAACCAGGGAACACATGGGCCGCTCACAGGTTTAGGTTCAGTCGAGTATTTGGCTAGTACAGATAAATCGTAGAGTGACCGGGCCGGCAGGCTCCCTTTAAGCACACTCCGGCCATTTATATGCGGTACCATGAAACCCGCAGGTGACCCGACCTCCCAGGCAAAAGCCGAACCGCAGCCGCCGGGCCGCACCTCTATCCGGACAGACCGCCACTGACCCATCTTTTCCACCTCCAGATCGTCTGGGCCACGACCACGAAAGTGGGCTGCGCGGTCAACAACTGCAAACGGATGAACGTGTGGGGAGAGATCTGGGAGAACGCCGTCTACCTGGTCTG